TTCACTCAATATATTAACTTGGCACATAGTTTCTGCAGTTATTTCTGCTGTATATATCTTGATCTAAGGATTCTCTCATAGTATACAGTCTATCAGTAGTTTTATTGAGTAAAATTAGTTGAAGAGATATATAAAATATGAAATTTCTCGGATTTCTGGTGCCACTTTGCCAAATATACTTATTACAGGTATATTTGGTCTCTGAAATAAAGCTATATGGCTCCTCTATTACTGGTAAAAGACTAATATCTTGACTTAGTGAACAAATGTGGTGATGTTTATGAAGTTGTGTGGCACAGGCCAAAATGTGGCCCTTTTTGCTGGCGCGCCAGCAAAAAGGGCTGACAAATGTCACGTGACTTGTGACTTGTGCATCCACGCTCTTCAAGCCCTCACTGTGGCTCTCTATCCAGGTAAGCTATGAACCTCAAACTCTTTATGATCTTCATAAAACACATCAAACTGAACTCTTTCAATATGATTTAGTGTATAATAATTTGAAGATGAATTGTTCAAGAATGAGTTAAGCTAGAGTGGCCCAACTGGTGCCACTTGAGGTTGTTTACACATGTTTGTTGCCTGTTCAAAAGCGACGCGCGTCGCTTTCATCCAAGTCCTCTTGCTCTTCTTCCTCTTTCATCACCACTGCTCTTGAGTGGTTACTCTTTCAATGCCTTCTACTTGCTTACTCGTTCTTTTTCTTCTTATATCCATAGGTATGTCTAATCTGGCTCTCAATATATACTGTTTCTAGCTATCCTTCAGTTGTCTGGTTGCTTTTAGAATATAGGCCTAATGGAATGGATATGAGACTGTATGTATTTGTCCTATTCTACTTATGCACAGTCTATCTTACTAACATTCTTTGTATGCTTCTTCTAGAGTCTGTATCAAATCCTAGTGAGCAGGTATGAGCCTTTATTTTCTTCTGCCTTCAGCACCTATGTCTCACTTCTTTATTTTTCTATGTGTGTAGAGATCTCTGGCCTCTTCTTAGATCATTGGTAAGTTTATTCTTCATACTATCTACTCAGGAATAGCATCTGATTCCATGTTCTTCCAACAGGACTTATGTAGGTTAGTAATTGGCAGGGATTTTTTTCATGTAATTTACTGTAGCACAGTGTTGTCATGTATCTGTACCCTACTGTAGTGAATATATAATCTTTCTTTGTCTCCTGATTAGTGTGATGATTCTATAGAAGAAACCCTAATCCAAAACAATATTAGTTGGGTGGAAAATGACTATAGAAGCTCTGAGAGCTCTGAGAGCACTGAGAGCTATAGGAGATATTGCCACTATACATAGGAACAAGAGATCCATAAGTTGCTAACATTGATATGGTAGCTCTCAATGCTCTCCAACAATATCTGTTCTATAGTAT